AGTCATTTGAGTCCTAGGTATCCGCTTGTGTTTGGAAGCATTGCCCAGTATCCATTGCTGTGTGGTGTTTGCTATGGGCTTCCCCAGAACTTGGTCCCCAGCATGAATGACTGCTGGCCACAGGAAATGGGGTCCTGCAGGGTGGGCAGTTGGGCCTCTCCAGATCCCCGGCCCTCATGGATCCCGCATTCCCTCGAGAGGAGTGTGTTGGGCAGCTGGACAGCTGGTGTTGGCATTTTAGCTTTGAGAAGCCCTTGGGACTTTCAGGGAGGTGTCCAGGAGAGTTGGGCCAGGATAACAGTAAGGGACACAGGCAGGGGCTGCCTGAAAGGTGGAAAGAGTAGCTGGGCTGGGTGGACTTGGATCAGGCTTCTGGCTGCAAGAGATCTGAGCTCTCACAGTTTACCTGGGCCAGGTATCCTGTTGACCTTTTACAGGTGAGAACACCAAGGGAGTCCATGGTGACTCGATCTACCCCTCACTGGGTGAGGGCTAGGGATTCTGAGCCTGCCCAGCTTCAAAGCCTCTGTGCGTGACCTTGGATGATGAAAAAGCCAGAGGGGAGGCTGGCCCTTAGGGAGACACGCCTGGGGCAGAGACCCCACAATGGGGCTCAGCCTGGCCTTCCCTGACTGTGCAGGCCAACAGCAGCTCTCTGGTGACTCTCTGTCTCCAACCCTTCTCCTCTTGCAGATGGACCTCTGTGGCAGGAACCGGCGATGGGTCATCCCAGAGGCTGGCACCAGCAGGGCCAGGTGGCATTCACCACCACCTCTACTGTCCAGAGTGAACGGCTGGTCCCCGCCACTCAACGTCCTACAGTTCCTGGCCTGGGCCATGTTCCTGGTCATGATCTTCACCAGCTTTGGCATCTTCATCCCACTGTTGCCTGGTGTCTGGAGGTATATTGCATACGGTGTATCCTTTGTACTGTGGATGCTCACAGGGCCCTGCTGGTGTAGGCAGTGAAGAGGAAGTGCTGAGGGATGCTTCTCATCGAACTGAGTCCTCGGGCCATGTGTGCCTCGCTACCCAACACATGCCTCCCTGCCCAGCCCGGGCCTCCCTGCCCAGCCCGGGCCTCCCTGCCCAGCCCGTACCTCCCTGCCCAGCCCAGGCCTCCCTGCCCAGCCCGGGCCTCCCTGCCCAGCCTGTACCTCCCTGCCCAGCCCGTGCCTCCCTGCCCAGCCCGGGCCTCCCTGCCCAGCCCGGGCCTCCCTATACAACACATGCCTCCCTGCCCAGCCCGTGCCTCTCAGCCCAGCCCGTACCTCCCTGCCCAGCCCAGTCCTCCCTGCCCAGCCCGTACCTCCCTGCCCAGCCCATACCTCCCTGCCCAGCCCTGGCCTCCCTACACAACACATGCCTCCCTGCCCAGCCCATGCCTCCCTGCCCAGCCCATACCTCCCTGCCCAGCCCAGGCCTCCCTGCCCAGCCCAAGCTTCCCTGCCCACTGTGGCCAGGTCCTACCCAGTACAATGTGTCACTGATCAGCATGGCTGTCATCCCGGCCAAGTAGGGCTGCAATCCTACCTGGTGGGACTATGAACTTTCCCAGAGACCATGTCCCTGCCTGGTGTGGCCTTGTCTTTGCCTACTGATGGTGTCTCTGCCTGGCAACTGTGTCCCTGCCCAGTGCAGCCATGTGCCTGCCCTGCAACTGTGTCCCTGCCTGGTATGTCCATGTCCCTGCCTGGTGTGTCTGTGTCCTTGCCCAGTGACTGTCTTCCTGCCTGGTGACTGTGTCCCTGACTGATGATCATGTCCCTGCCTGGTGACTGTCCCTGCCTGATGTGGCCATGTCCCTGCCCAATGTGGCGATGTTCCTGCCTGGCACATGGTGTTCCTAGTCATCTGTCCTGGGTCACACAACGTCCCACTGCTGCCTGGAGGCTCCTATTGCATTCTGTGTGTATGGTCCCCCTGCAGGTGACATGCAATGTGCACTTGGACCCTAGCTCCCTCCCCCACTCCAGATGCCCCAGTGTCTCAGAGCCAGGGATCCACAGTCCCCCACTGCTTCTCAGTATGGTGCATGAGCTTGGGGACCTTGTTAAAATGCAGACTTTCCCATGAAGTGTGCACCCCTCATCTGAGACCCCCTTACCATTGGTGAAGGAGGGAACTTGCTTGATCATGAGGAGATGGGGTAGGTGGGCTGGCTTGGGAGACAGAGGAGCCCAGAGGAAAGGGAAGGAGGTTGTAGACTTCTGCAATAATACACCTTGTGCTAAGGGGCCAATTCAGGAACACTGGTGGCCTAGTGGGTAAAGCATTTGGCTACTAACCAGAAAGTCAGCAGTTCAAACCCCCACATTAAGGAGATCTAGTGGTGCAGTGGTTAAAGTGTTTGACTGCTAACCAAAAAGGTTGGCGGTTCAAACCCACCTGCTGTTCTGTGGGAAGAAAGATGAGACAATCTGCTTCTGTAAAGATTTACAGCCTTGGAAACCGTATGGGGCACTTCCATTCTGTCCTAAATGGTCACTGTGTGTCAGAATCAATAGATAGCAGTGGGCTTGGTTTTGGAAGGGGCCCATTTGTATCGTCCAACAAAGTAACTGTCCATGTGGCCTCACTGACATAACAAAGGATACCCTATTTCCAAATACAGTTGCATGCCTGGGGCTAGAGGCTAGAGCTCCACACACATTTTAGGGGACACAGTTTAATCTGTCACATCGCTGCTGTGGAGAGTGACTCCCAGCAACATGCCTGCCCCCCAGCCGTGGACACCCCTCTGCCACTGCCTTCTTGTCTTCTATGCCACTGTCCAAACGGGGGATCTTTCTTCAGCACGCTCACTTTTTCAGCACCCCCACTTTGTCACTTGTCATAGATGGAACTGTCTGCTGCGTGTTGGTCATGAGGTCACCAGAGACCACAGCCTGTCTCTGGGCAGACAGTTTCTCCACAGGCGCCCCAGGTAGAATCAGACTGTCTTGGGGATCCTTAACCAAAGGAGGTTAACAGAGGGAGGGCCGTTCTTCAGCCATGTTGCTCCAGGTTGGCACCCGCAGAGTGCACCCAGGCTCTCTCCAGGTAGTGGTAGAGAGCACCCACGGGGCTTCAGCACCACCTGCCACCTTGGCGGACCCCAGAGGCTCGCCATTGGCCAGCCAACAATGCCCTGGTTCCTTGACACGCCCCTAGGTGCTCGGAGGGCTGTGCCTGCTCCACTTTGTGGTTCACTTGCTCGCAGTCTCCACTGACCCTGCGGAACTGAACGTGCGGACCAAGAACTACAGCAAGTCCATGCCCTTCTTTGACCGCTCCAAGCACCCTCACGTCATTCAGAACCAGTACTGCAACCTGTGCCAGATCACCGTGTGAGTGTCCCTACCCCCACCCCTTACTCCCCAGCCTTCCTGGGTGGCCTCCAAGCCCCACCTGGACAGATGCTCTGCTGGCATCTCAGGGCCCTGCTGATTCCTGTGCAGTAGCCCTGGGGTGACAGAGCTGACATTTCCACAAGGCCTTCACCCTGCATGTCCTGGACACTGTACCCCGTGCTTTAGTGACTGCCCCATGGAAAGCCTCACAGCCCCGTAGGTTCAGAGCCTCTGTGGCCGTGCTGTCCACAGTCCCTGCGTCTCCCTCCTCCAGGTCTTCCCCTCTGCCCACCTGGGCCTCGTTGAAGAGGACATGAAGCTGGCTGGGCCCCAGCTATGGGAACTGGGAGCGGGGGGTCCCCTCCCCAGCTGCACAGCCCCTGCAGGCGGGACCCCGGGCTTGAGCACATCAGGCCGGATGTGCGGCTGACAGGCTGCTCCTCTGGAACCCTTTCTTCCAGGAGTGCAAAAGCCAAACACTGTAGTGCCTGCAACAAGTGCATTGCTGGTTTCGACCACCACTGCAAGTGGCTGAACAACTGTGTGGGCAGCAGAAACTACTGGTGAGCCTGGCGGAGGGTGGGCAAGCATGAGGGGCTGCACCTCTGCCTCCCAGCACAGGGGCCCTCACACCTGGCTGGCCTCCTTTGAGGGAGGAGTCATTCCTAGCCTTACTTAGTCAAGCCCCTGAGTAGGGGTGATCGCTGTGTTCATCACAACGAGTGAGCAAAATCTCCTGACTCCTGCACAGAAGACCCCTGTTGGGGATGCTTAGTGAGTGGCCCCGGTCCCTGGTGCTGCATGGAGGTGCAGGCTGACAGGAGCTGCGTGGTCGTTCAGCTCACTGCTGTGTGCCTATGTTCTCTACACCAAGGCAATGACCTACCCAGAGCCACCGTTAGACAGTAAGAGGCTGAAGAAGTCAGGTAGAGATCAGGGACAGTGGAGGACGTGAAGACGGGGGAAGGAAGACCTGGCCACGGCCACTGTGTGTAGGGCTGGGCTGGGAATGGGAGTCCAGCTGCCATCCTCTCTGAGGCCCTGAGCCCAGATGTTACTCACCTCTGGGCTTCAACAAGCTGTATGAAATCCAGAAACACAGCAGTCAGCGCCCTCTGGTTCTCTACCCCATGCCTGTCTTACAAAGAGAAGGCCTCAGCTGAGGCTGGGGGTGGGGCGGGGCTTGCCTTCCAAGATACTCCTGTGGTGGGCGGAGGTCACATCTCCCAAGGGCATCAATTGGTGACTCACTCACTCTGCAGAACTGTGATTCCATTTGCTCACATGCTGCTGCTGTTGTTGTTATGTGTGTCAAATTGGACCTGACTCATAGCGACCCCTCCTTGGGTTTCTGAGGCAGTATCACTATGGAAGTAGATTGCCCCATCTTCCTTCCGAGGAGTGGCTGGTGGGTTTGAACCGCCAGCCTTCTGGTTAGTAGTCAAGTGCCTTAAGCACTATTCTACCAGAGCTCCTTGCTCACACACTATCCTGCAGCAAATGTGCCATTGTATTTAAAGTTAGGAGTCTCTGGTAGCATAATGCTAAGGCACTTGACTGCTAACCAGAAGGCTGGCAGTTCAAGCCCATCAGCCACTCCTCAGAAGGAAGGTTGGGCAGTCTACTTCCATAGTGATACTGCCTCAGAAACCCAAGGAGGGGTCGCTATGAGTCAGGTCTGACTCAATGGCACATAACAACAACAACAACAACAGAGGCCAATGACACTCACACTGGAGCTCATTTTTCTACATGACAAAGCATTGAGCTTCTCTCCAGCAGTAATAATCCCAAAGTCAGATCACTGAAGTAGCACCATCTCAGTGTGTGGCAGGAAGAGACCTGGCAGTCCCCCACCTGACCTCTCACTCTACAGGGGAGAAGCCCAGAACCCTGTAGTCAGGGCTGGGCTCGACCTCCAAACCTTCTTTCTTGTCTGTGCCTCATTAAACCTCTACTAGAGCTGGCTTCACCAGATGCCCCCTGGGGAGACCCTGTGGGAGAGCAAGGTGAATGACTGTGGCCACTGCCTATGAGGAGTGCGAGTGCCCAGGGACCCAGGCAGGGCCAAGCTTAGCTGGGCCCAGTGAGGGGCAAAGACAGCAGCTGCTGGGTATCAGAGGAGGTCATATGAGCTGTGGACAACAGCAGGATGGCCTGAGCTTTTCCAGTCTGAGCTAAGAAGGCCAGCCTGACCCTGGCTGAGCTCCAGGAGCCATCTCTGCATCCTCTGGTGACAGGCAGGTGGCAGAAACAATGTGTGACTGGCATGTGCCAGAGGGTCTCCTGTCTTCAGAGAAACACAGATGGAAGGCGAGCGTGACGCTTTGTGACCAGGGGAGAGCAAAGGGGTGAGGACTGGCCTGTGGGTGGGTGGGTAGGGGCTGTGGGAGGTACAGAGCAGCCAGCTCATTGCCAGAGGAGAGGTGAGAGCAGAGACCCTGACATCTGCCCAGTTCACTCGTGGGGCCACAGCTAGCATCTGTCCTCTCATCCCTCAGTGGTAGAGACAAAAAATGAGAGGAAAGATGTTCAATAATAGAATCAGCCAGAAAAGGTGACAAAATATGTAACAGAGAGCTTTGGAGAAAAGTCATTGTCAGTTATAAGTTGCATTGTGTTCCCACAAAGATACGTGTTGAAATCCCAGCTCTGGTCTCGTTGAATGTGACTCTGGAAACAGGTTGTCTTTTGTTACATTAAGTAGGCCATACCACTGTGAGGTGCATCCTAAACCCTATCACTTCTGATTAGGAAGAGTGGAATAGGACACACACACACACACTGGGGGAGAACAGATGCCAGGGGACAGCAAGGAGCTCTCAGGGCTACTGACCAGGAAGGACCACCCCCTAGATCCACACTGAGAATTTGGACTTCTAGCCTCCCGAACTGTGAGAAAATAAATTTCTGTTCTATAAAGTCATCCTTGTGGTATTTTGCTATAGCACTTCTAGGTAACTGTTAGTCTCTCAGGGCTATCCTAACAGCAGAATATTGGCAGAGAACTTCCAGAAATTCAAGCTGGATTCAGAAGAGGACATAGAATGAAGGATAGCATTGTGATGTCAGATGGATCTTGGCTGTAAACAAAGAAAACCAGAAAGATGTTTACTTGTGTTTTATTGACTATGTAAAGGCATTTGATTGTGTGGGTCATAACAAATTATGGATAACATTGAGAAGAATGGGAATTCCAGACCACTTCATTGTGCTCATGAGGAACCTGTACATAGACCAGGAGGCCATCATTCGAACAGAACAAGGGGATACTGCATGGCTTAAAATCAGGAAGGATGTGCATCAGGGTTGTATCCTTTCACCACACTTATTCAATCTGTATGCTGAGCAAATAATCTGAGAGGCTACACTATATGAAGAAGGACAGGGCATGAGGATTGAAGGAAGATTCATAACAACCTTTGATATGCAAATGACACAACCTTGCTTGCTGAAAATGAAGGTGACTTGTAACACTTATTGATGAAGATCAAAGAGTACAGTTGTGTTGGATTGGGTTCTCTAGAGAAACACAAAAAC